CTACCATAATGCATTCCTTGCTTTCTCAAGGTTCAAAATAGGTTATTCAAAGCGTAAAAAAATTCAAAATTTGCAAAACGAATTTTGTATTAACACCTCTAACTGTTGATGAAAATATGATGCAGTAAATTATACAAGGTGTAATGTTAAACTCATAAATGACTAATATTTAACAATCTGAAAATGTCATGAATTTTAATCATTCATGAAGGTGTGAGACTCAAAACGAATCTGTGATGGGCAGAGTATAAATACTTGAAACAGCCTAATTTAGGAGAATGCCATGTCTGGTATTACTAAAAAGAAAACAGACAATAAAAAATTTATGAGCAGCGCTAAGTCAACAAAATTAAATCTAAGTGGGATTTAACTTTGGGCTAAACGTGGGCTGAATAACTTAAAAAAACGAGATTTGTAATTTTGCAAATACAAAACAAAGTTACATTTATGGCAATTAATTTCATGAAATAAAGCTAGAAAAAAATTCAATTATTCGAAACCACATTTGATGGAAATAGACATAAATTCACACTAATATAAATATTTTTTTTTAAACTCAAATTCAGCTCTCAATAAGGCTCCAGACAAATACTAATATACACCTATGAAACATAACATTTTTAGATGCTACATATCCTTTGTATCTATTCTACCAATGTTATTAAATCCTATTACTGAAATAATTTTAATCTTTATTTTCATATTTTATTCTGCGGCAGATAACAATATGTAAATGCAGATTAGGCCTCAATATGAGTTCTCTTTAACAAAATTATGCCAACAATTATTAAACACCAAGTGATAAACCTCATGAATAACCAGCTTCAGACTATAATGTCTAAGCCCAATACTGCAGGGTGATATAACCCATGAACCTATTATTTACGTACTTTACAAAAATGCAAAAAAATTATTTAAGAATTGAATTTCTGTTTGTGTATGATTGTACTCAAAAAACTTCAGTAACCTAGCACGCTTTTCACACAAAAGTTATGTCTCTCTAGAAAATCTTTCAAATGGGTGCTGTTTTTTTGGGGTCACCCAAATCTATTTCATCGATAAACTCCAAGTAAGAGAATAAAGTTGGACAACTTTCTAAACGTCATTGCGATACAGGGTAGTATGCATATAGATTGAATGAACAACAAGAAGCCGAGACAGACAAGATGTCGATAAAGTCTCCCTTGTAATTCTCAAGAGATAAAAGTCAATCATTATTAGAGTAAAAAAATCACAGCAAGTATGGGCAACTAATAAAATAAGCTTTTACATGCTCACTTTTTCTATGGTCCGTGCTCGGTTGGATAAAATGATTATACAAAAATGGTAACTGCCTGAGTTAAGAGAATAAATTGTGATATTTAAATCTACACTAAATTGAATTTAAAGTGAGAGCTCTTCATTGTTTCACGGTGAGGTAATATTCTGCCACTGATAAGTGCTAAGTATTTTGAATGACTGGAATCTATTTGGTTTGACATTCTCTACCCAATTTATTATACACTGGGTGAGGGGTAGGCATCAGATTAATAAAATTAGTCATAAATAATATGGAGTTTTATATGAAAATTGCCTTATGAAATAGATTAGGTCTATATTGCTTTCTCATTATTTCTAATACCTACCAAAAAATTCTAGCAATTCACCCAATTTTTAAGATAATTAACTCAAATCTCCGATAAACTCGTGAGCAAATACATAGCACTAACTAGCTGTTATTAAAAACAGAAAAATATGAGACAAGAGGGCAAATTCAAAAGAAATATAAAACATGAATCAAAATATATTCTAATGTAATAATAGAATGTAAGAACATATATAACAACATAATTATGAAGCCTCCACTACCCTATAAAATAAACTAAGTAAATCATTAAATTTATAAATTTGAATTTTTGACATCAGTATCTAAGTTTCCAGTACTTTTCACAATAATATATCATTAAAAAACATCAACACCCATATTTATATACTAATCCACTGACATAAGCATAAAGTATTATGAAATCATTTTATCATCAGTGCATTATCTGTTCGTAAGCATATAGAAAATGAAGAGAGTTGCAAAAGGGTGATTCATGAAGTGTAAAAATAATAAATATATCTAATACCCGCTTACAGTCAACACACACACATTTTAACTAGAAAAATATCTATTTTTTGACAACGTGTCTTTTTCTATGCTTTTTATTAGTATTATTATTCTGTATTTGACAAGATAAAGATCTGACCTCTGCTGTAATGAGCAGGCATAAGATTAACAGCAAGTCTATTTTTGTTAAACTCTAATCCAAATTGACAAGCATGAATATTTAATGAAAGAGAGTAAGAAAGTACCAACCCTGGTCAGCTGGTACTTGAATTGCTTTTTTTAGCAAAAGTTGCTATTTTACCTATAAGATTAAGACAAAAGTTTTGTTTGGTCTGACTTATACAAAAGTGAAAATGTTTAAACACTTTTTAACGCAAAATCTTGTTCCTAGTGATAACATGCAATTAGGCTAAGCTATCGCGTAATTATTTCATCACGTTTTAATACCAAGACCAAAAAAATTATTTCACTTGAAACTGTTTAGCAGCTTTGCCTTGAGGCTACAGAGTAGACATAACATCTACTTTTATGCCTTGCGATTGTGGGAATTGCGGTAACTTAATTTTTAACACCTGGATAAAGTCTAGTAAAAGTCGACGAATTGGCGCACGTTGGCCATCTTCTGACTAAACTTGTGTTACTTGGCTGACCACGAAACAAACCATTTTGGTACTAGATACCTAACTAAAATTTTTTACGGAAGTAAGCGAAAAGTCGACGAAATCCTGAAAAATCCACTAATACCAATACTAGTAATTTCGAATCCGCGAGAGTTTTTTGCACGTTAAAGCAGACGATAGGCAAAATCTAAATTTCCTCGGTGACCTTCGTGGTCACCTGTCGCCAACTTCCGGTCTCGAGCAGGTTCCCTTTTCAGACTATCAAACCTCGAACCTATATAAAATGATTTCAAATAACTATAACTTACCATCTCTACTCAATATCACAAAATATTTCAGAATTAAGAAATCGACAGCTTGAATTTTACTATCAATGGCGCCAAAATGCGTCACAATTTTATAAATTGTTACGTCAAAATAGGTTCATATTTCTTTAGGCTGCGTCTACGCGGAGTAAATCAGTTTTATCACTTTTTGACTTAAAAATCAAATCAATATCGCGCAATAATGAACTATCATTCAATCTTCATAATCGAAAACAATTTCTAGCTTTGTTAATCTTCAAGAATCGTGTTTTTTCGCGATGATGAGTTATTTTTAGAATGTATTATCATCAGTCCGCGAGCGTTCTAAATTTAAACGCTGCACAACTGCTTTGGACTATTTGCACGCATCAATGCGTTTTTAGCTTGAGTCAGGAAATCGCACTTGGCGTGCTTCCACGCTAATCATTTGGCAGTCGCTGTACTTCGCGAATTTCACATTACTTTTTGTTTGTTTGATATTTTTTGTTGGATATATATATAATCTGTTTATATATACACGACTACATTATATGACGAGCGCACTCTCGCCTGACACATAGTCACAGAGCGTGTCAGTCTTTCCATTGTAACAGCAGATTAGCATTCTGAGTAATTTTCCCTGCTTTTTATGCTTGATAACCAACTATACCCTCAAATCGGGGGTAAATGACGAGAGTCCGGTATGTGCCTTGTAACAACGCTAATTCCAAGCGGGACGCTTAAATTCCCACCCCCGCCCAAAAGGGGCGGCGGATATGAAAATGATTTGCTGAACACGACGAGGTCCCCCAATACGCCAAGGCAACACCTTTTACCCTCTGACGCCCTCTATTAATATTTATAGCGCGGTGGCGTCCTTTGACCCCCGAAAAATTCTTCCTGTACTTTACCATTGCAAAATTTTCGGGGCTTATTTTAAGAGTGGTTTCGCGAGTTGGCGCCTGTAAAATCGGTATAGGTTTCAAACCATCATTATGATTCATCGCATACAACAATCTGTTTTTTAGTACCGGGGAAGAATTTTAGCTCAATCTATCACATTTATTTCCTTACGAATTTTTAATTACTGCAATTAAATTAAAACTCCTAAGAATACAGAGTGGTCATTGAATTATCTGATTTATATTTAAATTCCCAAAACACAACTGAAAACTAACGAATAGAGTTCAAAAACGCGAAAACGAGGTAACGTTTACGACCACGCCTGGAAAGCTGTCTGAGCGGATGCGAAAAGGGAGCATTGTTACGTCACTTTTTGCACCTTGCTGATTGGCCAATGCCACGAAGTAAACAAGGAAGTCGATGCAGGGGGAAGGGTCCATTGTCCTTCCAGGGCCGAAACGTCTGAGCTAATTTACAACCTACGGCAGGGCTACTCAACTATTTTCACCAAAGGTCCGTTTACGAAACTTCAAAATTACTGGGGTCCGGATTTTACAGAAAATTTATTTCATCAAATAAACGAAACTTCAAATTCAATATAAAATTAAATACAAGAGCAATGAATGGCTCGCAAATATGGACACAAATATCGCACATCGGTACCAGTACGACAAACTGTATAGCTGTGTATTTAAATTGTATCAAAATCATTTAAAACTATAAAACGAGGCTTATGCTGCTAAAATAAACAAGCAAACGCCGTCCAAATTTTATGGCGGGAGGTCCGGATTCGGACCGCGGTCCGCCAGTCGAGTAGCCCTGACCTACGGTACCGGATGTAGAAAAAAGAATGTAGCCCCGGATTTATGAAATTTCTGAATCCACTTGCAAAAAAATTAATAATAACAACTTGGGCGAATGCAAGCCTTGCATAGAATGTTAAAAACTTGATTTTTTCGATTTCTGCAAAAAATTCGAATTCGATTATCTCATTTAAGTCTCAAATTTCAATGGGAATGGGAATATGCCAAACTCTCGAATGCACATCCCTGGTGCTTACCAGTATCGATGATTTCCCATCCTTGCAAATGAGACAAAAAATCAAAGAAAGAAATGTACTTAGCATTAGAAGTGCATAAATGATTGTGCAATAAGAGACCTACACAGTACACAAAAAACTAGGCACTAAAAATAAAGATAAAAAAAATGTAAATGTCGTAAAGTAAATTACAGAAGCAAAAAAAGGGAAAGTAAATCTGACAAGCCTATAGGTCTATTCATGGATTGATGGCAATAAAAATGTTCGTTTTGGTTCGCTACTATTGAAGAGGTCTGTAGTCAGACGAGTCTGGTATATTGCTAATTGGCTGAATGACTAAGGCTGTCACAGAGGCTCATAGTGCATATTCATCAGTACATATAAGCATCATCAAAACCCAATTACTTTAGTCTCTCAAGGAGTCAAAACGCACTCTAGAAACTTCCAGTGCAAGACCAAAACTGCAGTTTGCTACGCAAGCCTTTGGCAGAATATGTGACAAGCTTTTCTCTGTTTATGATTTGCACGTGACGTCATATCTTGCCGTACTTCAAATAATGCGAGTAGAGCTTTTTCAAGCAAAAGGAGCACACCACCACCAGATGTACCAATTTGACTAGAAAAAATTGACTCAAGGGCTCATTATACTGTAAGAAACTGAATGAAAACCATATTTCAGTACGATAAACATTTTGGAAAACCATCTCAATTGAACTACTTGGTCTAAATGAGTGAGACTTAGAATGTCATACATGTTTGGTATTTCAAAGATTACTAAAGCAATTCAAATTGGGATTCTAATGATTCCTCTTCCTTGTTTTTATTTCTTCTTCTAGAAGTTGGGGATGAAGATCTTTGTCTCATAAATTTAGGATAAAATTTAGACGGATCAGGAATAAGTTTATTTAATTTTGCACTCATTTCGTCCATTGAGAATCCATCACTTTTTGTTGATTTTTTCGGACTCTTGCCACCATTTTTTGGAGACGGAATAGGGTTAGGTGATGGGGTTGCACCAATTCCCTCTTCAAGATTCACAGTGGATGTTTCTGGTAATGTATCATACTCGGTATTTGAGGGAACTATATTAGAAGGTTGTGCGTAATTATCGTAAGATTCTCCAAGTTCTTTAGGGTCTTCAGGTGTTTTTGGAGAAAACTGGTGATCCCCTGAACGGCCATCCATGATCAAAAACATGGGATAACTTAAAGTTCGTTTTTGATTTTTTTTGCATTGCTCTTTGAATTTTTCGAATTCTTTTGAATTTCTACAATAGAATCCAAAACAGCAACTTGGATCAATTTTCTTGACATTCGTCTGAAAATCAAGAATAATGCTTAATTTATTCCAAAAACTAGGATAGTGACGGATAAGACGGTTTAATCATAAATTATGGCAAACTGCGGCTCCGTGTCTGGTTACCAGACCATGGTGGGTATGAATTAGGTATTTGTCCTCAGTTGCATGGATTTGATGGTGGAGAAAGCCATAACCATGAATGACCAGTGATTATTTGAACCGCCCTACAACGAAGAATCCAGCAATATTCCCCATGGGATGTAAACTCATGCAGGGTAATCTGAGGTGTGATGACAAACGTATTCCTAATGCTTAGCACGATGCTCCAATCGCAAAGCTACTAAAAGAAAACAAATAGGAAATACGGAATCTCCTGGTATGCAGTTCATTGCAAGTTATCTCCAATTTTATTCAGCGATGGCCAAAATCGTATAATTTACTATTCAGAATATACTTTGTCTTACTTTTCTCAAGTTCATTGTATGATAGTCGTGCAAATTTTTCTTGAAACCAGTTGGAGAATCAGCAACTTGACAATAATGTGGATCCAGATGTAGAAGGTATTCATCTGAAAAGAAAATAAAGATGAACATATACAAGAAATTTTAGTGTAATGATTCCCAAATATTTTAGGTGAGTCGCAAAATATCAATTTCCTAAAAAGATACTTATTGTTAGCCCATGTTTAAAACTTGACAAAAATGCTGCAGTTCAATTTGAAACAATCATATCAAGAGTTAATTTATTGGTTTTAAAGAATGACTTGTATACTTGGAAGAACAAATTGGGGAGAACAATAATAGTAATAGCCCTAGAAATTGATTGATCCATTATTTGTACAGAGAAAGTAATTTTTCACGAAAAAAAAAAATTTAGCAATATGATCTATATGGTCACTTGGTGTCTAATAAGTAACCACTTCATAGTTCTAAAACAACAACATCAACAATGCCATATTAACATTAAGAAAAAAAGTACTCTAGGCTAAAAAACTTATATATCTACCTTGGTAACCGACAAAGTACAGAGAATGCTTTGGTTTTCCACCAATAATACCGATGGATGATTCAAGAGACAACATAGCTTGAATATAGGGAATGTAGATTGGATTTAACGCTGATTCACCTAGTCTAACCGGGATAAGAATAATTGCAGATGCTGGTTGATGCAAAGAAGGTGACTCGGCATTTTCTGTTGCAGAGGATGGATTATTCGAAGTAGTCAGTGATTTTAAAAACGCATGAGACTCTTCGACTGTACTCTCTCTTAATGACTTAATATGAGTAGTTTTTTGAAACATTGACTCATGTAATGATGAGAATGGATTCATTCTACTCTTTGGTTTTCCTTCGTAGTCGAATGTTGAAAATTTATTTTCAGTCTCTTCAAAATGTAACGGTTGTAGTAACCTCTGCGGACTGGGATTACAGGAAACAGATTCTTTGAACAAGAATTCAGAATATGCTGCAGAAGGTGATTTTTCAATTTCTTCCATTGTATTATTATGTGGTACAAAAGCCGGCAGAATCAACTCATTGCTTCGCTGACAATTTTTATTTTCCATGAATTCACTTGAGTGTGACTGCTGTTCATTAAATGTTTTTGTACCCAATGATGCGGAACATTGATCAGGGGTCGTGATTTGTGTACTGGCATTAGATGACGAAACTTCGTCAATTTTTTCACCTTTTTTTGTTGGTGAAGAAACACTCTGCGAGTTTCTCGAATTAGAAAAAATTGATGATATATCAGAGTTAGGATTATTTACATAAGTCCGGGCTTCGTTTTTGTTCGCTGATTGAAGTTGAGGTAAATTTTGCGGATTTTGACTGCTTCGTTGCGGTAAATTTTTGAATAGATCACGAATTTTCGTGTTAGGTTTGTGTTTTGTTAGATTTCCCTCAGAATTGTTCTTAGAAATATCCCCATCTTCCAAATGTTCATAATTAATGTTTGATAATAGTCCTGAGTTCAAATTAGAATCTTCTAGATCCTCAGATCTACCGTCTGAACAATTTGAAGTTTCACTTTTTACATTCTCTGAATTAGATTTATCTTGAACTGGTGCGGTATTGTTTCGATTCTCAGCCAGAATTTCTGTCATATCTTTATTTACTGAATTTTGCTGCCCAAGTATTAGATTTTCATTTTCGTTCATAACAGAAGAATGGCCAATTTCACTCAAAAAATTTCGATCTACGTTTTCAACAAGTCTAGGTTTTAGATTTTTAGTTCGATCTGGTTTTTCATTTAAGTCATCTTTGGTCGGAATTTGCGTCATTTGTTCATTCACTGAATCTTGCTGTCTGTGTTTTTGATTTTCATTTTTGTTCCCAACCACAAAAGAATGGCCAATTTCACCCAAAACGTTTTGATCTTCGTTTTGTAAAAGTTTGGGTTTTGAATTTATAGTTACTCCTTTCTCAACTAGATCATCCCCAGCCAGAATTTTTGTCATATATACGTTTCCTGAATATTGCTGCCCTTGTATTTGATTTTCTTGTTCATTCTCTATAACAGACGACTCCCCCACAACGTTTACAATTTGTTTGAGTTTTGGATTTTCAGTGCGGTCTGCTTCTTCAATTATATCATCCGGGTTTATAAAGGCAGGGTGTTGTAGCTCCACCATCGGTATCATATTATTGACAATTTTTTTTGTGGGAATAATTTCATCGGTGGAAAACGTTGGAACAAAATATTCTGAATTTTCGTAAACTTCCGACCCGATTTCATCCACATAAGACGAAGCGTCGGATGTCGTGTCTGGGTCGGAATCTAGTTCTTTAGATTTGTTCATTTGTCTTTGTGAGGTTGTTTCATCAGTGTCTTTTGTCCATCCACATAAATCATATACATCATCAGAATAAACTAAAAAATAGAATGATTATACGTCAATATTTTGATTGTTTGTACTCACTGAGATAAAAGTAAAATTGACAAATCCCAAGAGATAAAACATAAAAAATGGATACAGCCCAGACAGCTAGCGCTGCCTTTTCGCCCGCACTTAACCTGAAGGAAGAATGACCATTCTCTACTTTTCGTGTTTTACGTCCGACTAGGTAGGATAAGATAATTTATTTATATATACAATTGGGCGAAAAAATTATCAAAGGCATTACGCATAAGTCACAGTCATATAACAGGCTAACTAATCCCATATGCATCATGGACTGGTAACCGGACGAGAGGCCTCGGTTCGCAATATTATTAAGTTGTCTTATCGGCCTTCCTCTCCCCCAGGATAAATATAAAAAAATCCTATCCTAGTTGAAAACTTTACCCAAAAAAGCAATACCTGTACAATCCTGGGCAACATATACAGCGATGCCATCAAATTCTTCAACATTAAATTTAGGTAAATTGAGAGCTTGTTGCATGATATAGGCTACAGTATTGGGACCATACCAGTTACCAGGAATATTACCAAACATACGACCTGAAATTTAAATTTGAAAATTTTCAAAACCTTCAAAAACTTTTGTACCGTATTTATATGAATCTCGCTCTGAATAAACATATAAAACGTCCATAAGTAAAGGCGTTAAAATTGCTGACTCCTCACGGCTGTAGGGTGGTTCACGTAACTGGTCGGTTACAGCTTCCTGCACTATCAAGCCTATGCAACTGAAAAACAAAATAACTGGCCAACACCAACATAATTCCATGGACTGGGGACCGAACGACAGGCCATGATATGCCATAAGATTGTGTCATCAAATTATATCGGCTTTCATCTCCCCCAGGATAAAAATGAAATCTTATCAAAATCATATACTAACCAGTCTGTGATAAGCATTGTATACTCAGAGGGCAATCTGGATGATCAATGAATAAGCTGATTATATTTCGATGAAGATGTTGTAAATGTTTATTCCAATTTTGAAACCATCTCCAATCTCGACCTGAGTGTAAAAAAAAATAACGAATTATTTATCAAAACTATTCTAATGATGTTTCTCCCAAAATATGTTAACTGGAACATAGTATGTGTACCAGGTTTGGGTTACGCCATTTTTTTATTCTAATTTTCCTTATTGTCGTTTCCTATTACGAGTTCGGGGACTAGCCAATTGCCTCCCATAGTATTTGTACCTGAAACTATGGCCTATCCCTAACCTGGTACACATAGCCTACCGGTACTGCGTTCCGGTGTCAGCCATCTCGGTTCACTAATTTTTTAATAGAATTACAATAAGGAAAATCGGAAAAAAGCATATGAAGTGGAATTCATACTATGTTCTGGGGAAAGATAGATAAAATACAAAGTTGAAAAAAATAAATAAAATACAAGTTTCCCGAAAGACCCCATAAAAACTTATGGTAGACGTGAGCACAAATAGAAAGATTCACAATAACCACCTAAATGATGAAACATCAATCCTTGTGCGATCATCATTTGAGCAGTCCGTAACATGCAACCCCATCCAGTATCCGATGTAATATTTGTACCTAAAAATTGAAATTGCGTCAATTGAATCACATTTAAAACTATATTATTTTGATACTAGTGATATCTACCAATTCTGAATGAACAATAAAATTATATTTCAGAATGGACGATTAACTTTGAATACAGTAATTGATTAAATATACTTTCATACTGAAGTTTGGAAACCACCGATCCAGGAATGTACTAGTACTTTTTTATGTTTCGTGTTTTAACCCAATTTTTGGTACTCCCAAATTATGTTATTTTAAGTCAATATCTAGCTACTACCTTCAATTGGCGGAAACTGTTTCCGATATGTGAACCATGGACGACTCGCAAAATCTGTGAAAACTTGTTTTGCAAGAAGGCTTCCAAATACTGGGAGATCTGAAATATAGCAAATCTCAATAAGATAAAAACAAGACAAATTTTTATCAATGAAAATAAGTTTATTGGTTATTCTGGCAGTAAAATTAAACATTATATCACGCTGGAAAAAGATCTATTTGGAAAATTTCAAATTTTAAAATTAATTTCATTTTCAGAACGGTAGGAAAGTCTGAAAAATTGACAACTTACTTCAAGTGCGAGTCATTTAAAAAATAACTACAACTTGATGACATTTCTGGCTCCAACTATGGCTCCAGGTTGAAGGAAATTTTAAATTTCCGACTCAATTAGGGAAATCGAAATTTTGATAACAAAAATTTTGGCCTACGTAAGACTCGTTTGATTGTCTTCGTCAACTTTTGGTTTTGTCATTATCACAATTAAAAGTTCGAATAGGAGTTGGACCAAGCCAGGCTGTATTGCTAGATAAACTGAATGATGAGTAAGCAAAATTTTGACCCTGGCTCTTGAGATTTGGAAAATATGATCCCTGATTTGACTCAGTGTCAATAAAAACATGCTAAACTCTTGACACCACTGATTTTCAAGGCAGATGTTTCGATAGCACCCCGCACAATTTAAAAATCCGCAACTATACCAACCTCTATTCTGATCTTCTTCATCTGGCAATGCTTGATTAAGATCGGTAGCATGATGACAGACACCAAGTATCCATATTGGAATATCTTTTTTTAACGAAGCATCAGATCCGAAATCTACAGACAAAAGAAGAAAGTGTAACTAGTTATTTATAGTTGGTATTCGTAAACTAAAATATAAATACGTAGCTTCAGCTTGCTTCTGATTGGTCAAAATTTAAAGAATTCAAGACTCCGTTAAACATATATTAAACTCGTACGTAGGAAGTCATCAACCAGTCAGTTTGATGCTTCTAGGTTTCTATTTGCTCTGAGGTGTGCCGACTGCCAGCATTGAATAATTTATTGTTTTATGATAAAAATGAGAATTACTGAATAACTTTCGAACTTGTAAATATTTTTTTCAGAAAAATCCTGATAAATGCCAAATTTTAGGTGCTCCAGAAGTATGTGTATATGGAGGTAACTAATTTTGTTCACGTACTTCACATCCAGCTGCGTAAATGGGACTCAAACTATGGGCAGGGGGTATGTTCACTTGACTAACACAGACAGTCCCCAAACTCGTAATAGAACAAAAATAAGGAAAATCGGAATAACATTATGGCCTAACCCTAACCTTATACACATACTACGGGAGTACTAGGTAAATTTTATTCGAAGGATTTAACATAAATCATTTCAAATATGGATAATTTGAGTTTATTTCAACTCTATAATAAGCTGAACAGACAATAAAAGAATATATAATAAATATTGGGGTAACAGTCGCTTTACAAAAAAAAACTGATTAAAATATAAAAAAGTGCCTCTCCGCAACGAATGATTAATAACATCTATTGTGTAAAAGAGGATGTTGCAATGAAAACAATATTGCAATCATCTATGCGGTAAACTCCATATTTAGTCATGTTTTTCTTACCCCTGAATGAGATATCTGCGCTAGGCCATTCCCACAACCTCAACAGGAGAGATATGAATTTAGAAGCATGCATCAAGCGACTAATTGAATATAAGCTCATATACAAAATACAAGTAAGCCTTATTCAGAGAAAAAAATACCCATTATATGCAAACTTGGATACATGAACATTTGCAACTCAAAAATGATGTCATAGGTCACACAGGTCATCTCACAACTACTAAATCATGTTTAAGTGATGAATACCTCATTACGTCATGTTGGTGATGTAACATTATTTGCAGCAATGAGTGGTGAGGTAATGAGTGCACAGATAACATTACATGAGTATCCATGTTCAAATAGTTCACCACACTAAAAATGCTTCCAATCGGATATTCTACACTAAAATGGGTATTTCTGCTCATTTGATTCCAATAAACATCCATTATAACACAATCCTCATTATAAACTTCACTATCAAGTTTATAGGACATGAATTGGACCTACGAATCGTTTTGTTATTATGTTGTTCTTGGTATTTGGCTTCTTATCATTATGAATAAATCGCTTTTCTTTCTAACTACTGGACCAATTGCTTTGGAATCTTCAGTGGTTTAATATTGTATTTTTCGCTAGAGGGCTATTACTTTCTCGTGTCCATATATTTGAGCATGGCGCTATTGTTGTTTATTAATAATACAATATGAAATATAACTTGAGTTTATAACTACCTACGACTACGAGTATGCTGGTGGATATGTATGAGTATAATGCAAAGATGTCGAGCAAAAATAAAGATGATCGACTATTCTTCGTGATGTAAGAGTCATGCTACACCAACACAAATGTATTTTTGTAACATTTTGCCAGACAAACATATTTCGAATACAGTTGGGCGTCATACAGGCGTTGCAGAAATATACACAATATAACTGAAAACAAATGATTTCATTATACACTTCATTTTATATAGCTTAGTCCTCAATTCTATTACATACCATATCTGATATTATTCCACGCTTCCAAAAATCTTGCCTTCATTTTATCATCCTTTTTGGGGGTATTTCCATCTTTTTTGCCAATTTTTTTCGCAGGTGAAAGTGTGAACATTGGTATTGTCGTAATTGACTTAACGTCACTTATTATTTCATCCATTTTTGCTTTGAAAGCCATGATGGCTTTTTGTGATCTGAACAAAAATATGAGACATACAAGAGAATATGCTCGAATATATCGGTCAAATGATGACTAATATGACCGTAGCAAAATTGCAGCCAAATGTTACAATAATTGTACTAAAGGTCATACGAAAGTGCGCTGGTGACAGGGAAATTTCGACCCAGTACGAAGTATTAGCCTAATAGCAATTTCTTTCCCATCGGAGTGCTGAATATTTGAAATCAATTGGTCCATTAGTTGCAAAGAATATGAATAATTTTATTCTGGGAACCTTGACAATAAAGAGGGAAGTTTACAAAAAGACCTGACATAGGCATCACAGCATTCATAAGCTAAATATATATCATATTACTGTTACCTTAATATCTCCTTTGTTAGAAAGACAGACAATTACTTCATCACCATTATCTTGTATTGAGCGGATAATATATGCAGAGTCAGATTTCTTTATTGAATTCAGTCACATGACCAAAGCAAATACTGCTAGATGCGAGATACGAACTTCAGATCAAAAACTTTATGATTAGATCAAGAATGGTCCAAGGTTTCCAAATTATCATGACCTCTTACATTATTACTAAAATGCAAATCTAGGAAAAGATAAGAGTAAAGTAATAAACATGCACATAGAAAACTGTAGTCTAACAAGAATGGGACTAATATGCTCAAATTATGCAAATCTTCCAATGGCTTACATTTCGCCGTGTATAAATAACACATATATTGTCACTGATCACATTTAACCCTTGAGCAAGCAAAGATGTATAGTTTATGTGATCAATATTATTAACGTGCAATTTAGAAAATTGAGGTGTAATGATATTTTATAGGTTTATTATTTGTACAAAGTGCATGAATGCTGTAAAACAGGGCATACTGGTTAATTCTTTTTTTTTTATTTGAATGATATGCCTTTCGATTCTTTAAAGAACTTCTGCAACGTGGAATTCACTTCAGTGTCAAAGCAATCGGTAACTACAGGAGCGAAATGCATCACTTTGCTCAATGATAAGTCTTTTTTACTTCTGAATGCATGCGGTGCAAATTCGCTTATCGGTACTAAAATAATCATAAAATCCATCATAAAAGCATTATCAATAGAAAAAGACAGATTATTGTAGTATCAGCAACATTCCAGAAATACTGTACTTTTAAAATCTGTGCAATGGTATCGACAAATACATTTTTAAATAAAAAGCCATTCTATCAATAGGGCTATTTAAAACTTTATTGTTCTGCGATCCCATTTTGAAAATTAAATAAGTATGTGACTCAATTATAGGAACTCAGCATCAAAAAGATTCCCAAATCAAATCTTGTATAAAAAATTTTCAAAGTGAAATAATGTGAATACATTCACTAAACAATTCATTCATAATCGCCAGTTGGAGATATTGATATTTGATCGACCAATTGGTCAGATCATACCAGCAGATATCATCATACCGGTCAGATTAGGGTGGGTCAGCACTCCACCCTAATCCTAGTATATAAGTGAATATCTTCTTGTGTAATTACATTTTTATAACTCTCTTTCTATCACATAAAATCCAACAAACATACAATCTGCAATATTAAACAATATTCCTGAGTAAAATGAACAGAACGTTGAACCTAACTATGCCCAACTAGCAGGAGTCCAAACCCAATGTCCATTGCCTTGCGTATAGTATAGTTGGATATGGAGTGCTGGATTGAAAAGATTTTGGCCTGTGCATGAATTGTATTTCCTTGAGTATCAGTGATCATTTATATAAACAAGTATAAATAAAATAATATATAATATGAATAAAAGATAATACTGCTAAATGAATAGTTTATATTTCTGCATAATAAAATTGAAACTTAATGTTTTCTCGATTTTTTTCTCCGCTTCCGATCAAAATTTGAGTCTGAATCACTCGATTCAGATTTAGGTTTCTTTCTTTTTTTCTTCTTTTTGTTTTTTTTTAATTTTTTATCCTCAATATTAGAATCGATAGAGTCTTCATTTTCATAAAGTTCATGGTATCCATCATGTCCCCATTTTAAATTATTTGCTGTTAAAAAACCATTCACTGAAGGCCCAATTTCAGAATCAGCATTTGAATTAATTTGTGTTTTTGATTTCAAAGATGATTCAATTCTTTTATCTGTTCTATTCTCTTCTCTTCTTCTGGATTTCTTCTTTTTCCTTTTTTTGGGTTTACTGATTTTATTCCTATCAGAGTCACTGGAGCGTGAACTATCTCGATTCCTAGTTTCCTTTGATGCGAAGTGACGAGACCACATCTCTTGCTCTTGTAGATTACGATTATAAGCGTCTGTGCTTTGTATAACCTTCTTTAAAACAGTTTTATTTACATTAGGAATTCGTTTCCGCGTCCTTGAAGCTTTTAGTGATTCTTCGAATGCTGCATATGTATCAAAACTCATTTTGATTCTGAAAAATTGAAGTGAATGCCACCTGAAAACATAGACAAGAACTTTAGATAATTCCAACATTACAATAGCTTATTTTTCGGGTCTGGTACCACATTCACTTCTAGTTGGCCTGGCTCAACAAGTTTTGCATATGTCAATCCTAACCCCCATCTGACTATGTCACCAAAAAGTATGTCACTACAATGCCACAGTGGCGTGGGGTAATATATAGCCTACCTCCAAAGTGTACAGATGATCGTCCAAAACGCGCAGAAGATCACCCGGAATCGAGCAAGCTATTTCTCTCGTTTTCTTGTCGCATTGATTCCGATATGAGATAGATCGCTGGCGTTAGTGAGTTTGGTATCGTCGGCGCAGATGCCATTTCGGACGATGGTAGCTATACTTGGCAAGGAAGGAAGGATTTACATATTTATCCCGGGGGAGAGGAAAGTTGATAAGATGGCTGATATGGCCTGTTTACCTATCTATCTCACAATACCTATCTAGCTTACTGTAACAACGAAAACTGAAAATTGGCGAATTTGTCAATGCTCGAATTGCGAGTGACGTCATGTGCTTTAAAACATAGGTTCTCAAAGTGCTCCGTACGGAGCCCCAGGGCTCCGCGAGAGAAACCCAGGGGCTCCGCGAGAGAAACCCAGAGGCTCCGCGAGCTACTCAATTACTTTTCAAAGTACTGACTAATTTTGTACCTGTTCAAAGGAGCAACAAGAGAACTGTGGGCAAATATATGGACACGTTAACCAGAGCGATACCACAGTATTTACCTTTGACGCCACCGGTACCCACAAAAAATTCCCGAGTTTCGCGTAGAAATAATTTACAGAATCAAACCGGACAGCCAGTGTTCCCATGGATAAAATAATACAGCGAAATTTTAGACGAAATATCAGATTTCATGCGAAATTTAGAAATTAATAAAAGTAATAGCCTTCTGGCAAAAAAAATCAATCTTTACTCACTGAAAATTCCAAAGCAATTGACCCAGTATTCGAAGAGAAAAGCGATTTTTTTTAAATGATGGAGACAAATATTAACAATAACAAGAGAGCTATGCTCAAATATATGGACACGTAGAGTCACATAATTTTGATGACGTCATAGCGAAAAAAGAAGTAATAGCCTTCTGGAGAAAATTTTTATCTTTAACCACTAAAAATTTCAAAGCAATTGGTCCAGTATTCGAAGAGAAAAGCGACTTTTTAAAAACGTGTCAAGCGGTACTGAGTTAGCAGTCAGGCAGCATCTCACCTGTACACTGTAGGCCATATACGGTAATTGATCACAGAACAGTTGTTCCCTTGCAAATTTTATGTTGTTTACACTTTAGGACAGATAATTGATCACAGAACAATTCTTCCCTTTCAAATTTTATGTTGTTTCCAGTAGACTCTCATCAAAATAAACAAATATAGTAGGCTACAAGTGCTACAACGCTTGCATTACTGCACTGGTAGGACCGTGAAAGAATAAGTTACGGTAATTTCATTGTGGTAAAACACCTGTACCGGCACCAGTACCAGTATCGTACTTACGTACTGAGCTACCAGTACCGGTACCGAACCTGTAGGTCTGATATTCCGTTCCGCATACGATAGGCTATAAAACTAAAAATTAATCTTCAACCACTGAAAATTTCAAAGCAATTGGTCCAGTATTCGAAGAGAAAAGCGACTTTTTAAAAACGTGTCAAAGAACAAGAACAACAAGAACAAGAACAACAACAACATAATATTGAAACGATCGTTATGTCCACTACGTGTCCAACAACATAATATTGAAACGATCGTTATGTCCACTAAACGAGTCCAATAACAGCTTTGATAAAATCTGACAACAATATAGCCTCGAAATATGGCAAAGAGGCGGAATTCAAATATGACATTATTTATAAGCAGGAGCGCAGCCAGGATTCTTAAGAGGGAGGTGGTTCCGCGCAACATTCTTCGCGAATAAAAAAAACGGATAACGAGATTTCTGTTGCGTAAAATATTCAATCCATGCCTGATGCGAGTATTTAACGTGTCTCGTCGTTATAATGTAATTGTGCTCATCGTTACTCGCGTTTGATTCGAGATTACTATTAGGATTACTAAAATAAAAGTTTACTATTCTAAAATAACATAACATACGTGATGAACTGCCAACTATAAATAAATTGGAGTCGTATTTTTGCGATCTTGAGATTTGTCAAACTCGATTTGTTCTTTCGCACTTGAGATTATTTTTAAACAAGATATCGTTTAAAAAATCACAATGTCTGGGCAAAATACGAACAATTGAAATTTATTTTATTGCATTTGGCTCCGTCGGTAGTTTCAGAATGAAAAAAAGGTACATCGTGCGCACAATTGACTGTGTTTCGATTTTGCAGTTACTACAATGAAAACCCAACATAATACCAAATTTTGTGATTTACAATGTCTATGAAAGCGTTTTCAATCTGAGTCTGCCGAAACCAAACGCGTGATCTTCCATTTTAAGTTTTAGTTTTAATATTTTAGAATACCGCTTTTTAATCAAGAAATTTGAGTTGCAGATTTACCTCTTTATTAAATATTATTTTTATCATTTCGTCGCCGATGACTATAATATGGAAACATGTTTTCACAATGAACTCATAGTTCCCCACGAAAACAAAAAAGCAATTAACGCGTCATTGTGTAACAAGACATGTACCTATATGCCGAGGGAAATTTTTGATTTAGGGAGAATAAACATCGGCGTAAAGATGTTAGAGGTTCAAAAACACGCCATGCTGAGGGAAAAAATCGGCGATTGTAACAAAATGCAATCGCGCACATTATAAGCGGCCTTTTAAGTCTTCCAAAAAATGTCAAAAAAAAATTCGACCCCTAATTTATTAGTATGTTTGTCAAGTGTCAAATTTACAGCTTTAGTATTATATAATTTATGTTTGAAATTTAGATTTATTTATGACTTGTAATAACTGTTTTAACAAATTATTTTACACCTCCACGTTGCCTACCAATGTCTGAATATTGACAGTTGTTTGAATATTGTTTCAGTTCCAAACTAGTTCCAATGTATACAGCTTTTTGTGTTTTTTCCCAAGCACACTGTCCGAATCTTTTTTTTGCTGTGTACATCACTAGTCACTATTTTTTTCTAACTTGGCATGCATTGTTGAATTTTTGTATTCACAGATATTTCAGCTACTGTCACTCTATTTTTATCCCCCCTATTCAAAACTCCATGCTGCTCTTCAACCATGCAATTCTTTATCTGTTTTATACATTTCATAAATTTTCAGTAATTTTTTGCATTTCTGATAACAAGCAATGTGGGTCAGTCGTTAAGATTACGCCACTCGTTAGAAAAGCCGACTTTTTCAACGAATATGTAATAGTTTTTGTGATGGTTGAATAAAATGTTAGATCCATGATCGATATACATATTTAAAATGGTTGCTTTATTTATTTAATTGTAAATAATTAACTTGCGATTGCGTTGATAAAATAAAAGCACCCCTACTCCAAAATACCACGGCAATCCTCGGGCATAAAAATGTGTTGTAAACTGCCAGATTACATTGTGTTTCAATTCATATTCTTGCAAATTAGACCAAAATGAGCTTTCACTGCAACTCTTACTCCGCGTCATTGCAATGCTGCCACTCGATTAATTTTCAGATATCATCGTTAGAGAAATTCCCAAGTTTGTGATAAAATCCCACGGAGAAAAATTTATTTCAAGTCGGTAGTTTTAGAACAATACAGGTGTGCCGCAGCCGCAGCAAATAAATTATGAGGTTTGCAACGTCTAAGAAAGTGTTTTCAATCTGTCGCGGCTGACGAAAACAATTGGATATTAAAACATGCAATCGCAAACGTCATGCTACTTTATTTTTCAGCGGACAAGGTCGGGGAATCGTCCACATGCATAATACCTTTTAGAAAAAGGACTTCTTTTCTTTTTGCTAAATATGTACATAAATTCATTTACACTTCTCCATTTTGTAAACTGTGTTTTTGAACCTGGTGGTTGTCCAAAGGTATTGGTAGTGAATTTTAGAGACGTTCGGCGAGCCAAGAAGTCTGGTTTTTGCATTGCTCAGTAGTAATGAGGTAAACATGTGATTGAAATCTCACGTGCCTTGGGTGAACGTTCAAGCAGAAAATACATACGTAGGCTACGTACGCATACGTTTGTTGCGTGCTTAGTTTCACCTAAAACTTAGTTTAACTTTACCAGGTATTGCAAACTGAGCGGAAAACGGAGAATGTATGATGACCACTATTTGAATATGGCTTTATGCTTACGAAAGTGAATGGCGAAGTTGTACTCCGATGCGTTTTATGCCTAAACAATCAGAGCAATGACGCTATGAGACCAACACTCTTACAGCGCCTTCTTAATATAAAGCAACCAGCCCATCACAATAGCAGATTTTCAAAGAAAAAAGGGGTGGGGACGCGACTCCAAAAGTTTAAGAACCACTGGCTAGGCGTTAAGAATACGTCTGATTATTCTGCGTGAATTCACAGGTTCGAATCCCATGCGAGGATGGGTATGTGCGAGAGATATGCTGGACTCCTCGCCGCCGTAGAGTGGTTCACGTAATCGCTGGTCGGTTACGGCTTCCTCCACCATCAAGTCCATGCTTCCGAAAAACAAATAACTAATTGAACCCATACCCAACATGGAATGGTAACCGGACGAGGGGCTGTGGTTCGCCATATGGTTAAGCCGTCTTATCGGATTTCCTTCCCTCCGGGATAAATATGTAAATCTTATCCTAACAGAGACGAAGGAGGCCGTTAGGATTCTATTACATTTAATTTTATCTACCTGAATTTCGCTGTTTTATTTCATGTGCAACACTTTTTTACTCCACGTAAGTTGTCCACGGATCCCAACAATTATGTGTTATTATCATTTTAAATTGAGTTAAAACTTATAAGCATTGCCCGATTCTAAATCATGTCCATATGTTTTATGCTCGTATTATTCTCATTTTATTTTTTTGGGGGGTGGGCGCGTACTTGTGTACTTTTTTAACTTTATTTCAAGTTATGCTGGGTATCTCTGTATTTGTTGTCTGTTTATTTTTTGTGTTGTTCTGTTTTACGTCAGAGTGCCGAAATAAAATGATTGATTGATATTAAGTTTATTCAAAAAAAAAAAAAATACAAAATCACCCACCAAACACCACGCCGGATGAGTCATCAACCCTCGACATCGTGAAAGCCGGTATTTGAAAATTAAGGAATTCAAAAACCTCGCAGGCGACTACACGTGGATGTTTCCCCGACCCTTCACCCCAGAAAAAAATTTCCTATATTTTACTATGGCAATTTTTTTTATGTTCACGTCTTTATTGAGCTATTACTGATTGGCCTTTGTTACGGGAATGAACAAGAAATCAATGTTCGGGAAAACA